ATATATATGTATAGATATTAAATTTATGTTATTAACACAGTGAGGAGAATATTAAGCCTAATGAGGGAAAAAATCACATATTAGAGTTGTCTGTTGAAGATCTGTAGCAAAAAGTGGGTTTCGCGGACAGACTCTTCATACAACCAATATACAGATTTACACCAATATAAAAAACCAGTGGTTTGAGAATAACACCAAAGGAAAACCTTTACTGTTTATCACAAACCTAAAAATATACACTTTGCTGAACTTTTAAGCTTAAATTTAAATTTTAAGCTTGAATTGGTTTCAGAAATTGGCTCTATCCTCAAGCCCACTACTTCCTGAATTGAAGACGGGTATTTTGTTTCCTGTATTTTTCTACCATTGTGAACTGATTATTCCAGGTGTGCTTTACCTCAGTAACCATTGCCAGAAACATCTGGATGAATAAGTTCATCCAGTAATGAAACAAAAGAGGCTGCCTTAAGTTCCAGAAGTAGCAGAGTTGTGCATAGAGCCCATCAAGGACAAATAAAGAAACTTCCTTCTTTTATGGTCTCTCATCCTCCAGAGCTAAATTTCATATTTATCTTCCAGTGAAATAAATATTGTTAAAGAGAAGACAGAGGACTCTGAACAATTAAGAATGAAAGAAAATCCTCCTATGTAAAATAAAGTGTCATCTTGTTAAAGATTTTGTCAAATTATGGACTGCAGTGGAGACAGACAGCGTTTGCTAAAACTATTATATCTCTAAACTTATTTTTTTTTTCCCTTAAAAAAATGTAAGAAAATAGTTTTATATTAGTGTGCAACTGCAATAAAATATTAATTTAAAGCTTTTTGAATACCTTGCCTAGGCCTAAAAGTCAAAATGTTCAACCAAATTGAAATATTTTTAGTTAAATGAAAGTCTTGAAATAATTGAAGCAAATTGAAGCAGTAAATTGAAAGGTAAATGAAAGCATGCAAATACCTACGAGGGTCAAAACTATTTAAAAAAAAAACAACAACAAAAGAAAATGAGACTGTGCAGTAAGGACAAATCAGAAATCAAAAGGTTCAATGCAGTTACTATGCAATACAGATATCTTTATCGAAACAGCTTAGATGTTTGCAGCTGAATAGTTTTTTTGTTGTTGTTTTTTGCAAAGCATGTTTGTATAATTAGGCATAAAAAGACACCATCAGTTTACAGGAATGAATAAGACTATTCAAGATAAGCAGAGATATAAACACTAAAGGAGTTTGTTAGATAAGGTGATTGCTATAAATTCTAGGAGCGGCTGGAAGGAATAATCTTTGATAAGGCTCCTTTGCTACATAAGGTGCAGCAGTCTTTCAAAGACCTCCAGTTCTGTAGCAGTTTAATACGATTAGACAAATGGTACAAAAGTAATGTTTAACTAGAGTCCCTGTTTCCAACCAGTCCACAGCACTGTGTCGAAGTGGCATCCCAAGGCAAAGTATATAGTAGATTCCAGAAAGCTATGTCTGTACATTGAAAGTTAATGGGAAGTTACCATAAAAGTTCCCAGAATGCACCTGGGGTTCCAGAAAGAATAATTGAACTGTTTGGAAAGTGAGTAAGGCTGTACCGTAGCGCAGTTCGTAGCATTGTTTCCTTGCAGCAAGAAGTTTCTGGGTTTGATTCTTTTCTGCACTGTGTTTAAGTGTTCTCCCTGTGCATGCGTGGGTTCTCTCTGAGTACTCTAGCCTCCTCCCCCAGTCCAAAAACATGACGCGTTTTTGGACTGTTAGGTATGAGTGTGTGCATAGTCTCATGTCTCTGAGTTGCCCTGCGACAGACTGGCAACCCGTCTAGGTTGCACCCCACCTCTCACCCTTAGACTGCTGGAAATGAGCACCAGCCCCACCACGACCCTGACGGAATAAGGGGGAGAAAATGGATGAAAGGAAAGTGCCTAGTAAATTTGTGAAATTTCTAGAAAAGCCAGTATGTTTTTAGAAAGTAAATTCTGTGTTTTGGGAGAGTACATTCCTTGACATCTTTTTAAAAACAGTTGTGTAAAGCACCAAGACTTCTAACATTAATTAGTGTGAGTACAGGCTGCATTATGTAGTTCTAACACATTTTAACAATATTTACAAGTTCACACAAACTGCAAATCATTTTCAAAATTCATTTTTTGCTGTTAAAAACCATTTAAGTGCTACATGTTAAATCTTTACAATGCTCTAAAAAGATCACAGGGACTGAATGCAGAGAAAAACAATCATTTCAATTGGCACAAAGCAAGTTTTTATTCTCAAACATCCTGAAATAAGGCATCTTAAGATCATCACCAACACTTCCTTAGACATAAGTCAACTTCCTGTATGCTTTCTCCTTCACTTTCATTAGAAACACTTCCACACCGAGTTCACTCATGTCTTCCTACATGCCTTTTACATCACTCTTTAAGATTCGGCTCAGTCTGACTCGTAGACTCGCATCTAGATGGTGGAGACCTTTGAATTTAGGTCTAAAAGAAATCAAGACAGAAAATCCTCAGACTAAGCATGTAATCTGCTAATTTTTTATATATATATATTTAGCCTTTCTCATCTTTTCATCTTTCTAAATAAAAATGAACTTTGCATTCTAACACCACTTTCCTGACCTTCACCTTTTAAACTTCACAGTATGCGACTTTTTAAATACTAAAGTGAAGCCACATTGTTGTAATCAAACATAATATAGAAACAGTTTATGTTGTTTGTATCCTGATTTAAGTTCACAAGTTAAGGTAATCTGAATGCCTTCACTAACCAGAATAAACATAAAACGTTACAGCAGCAAAACTGGTAAAACATTTTAGGTATTGTGCATTTAGTCACTTCCTATACATTGTTATCAAAATAAACAGAAAGATATAACTCATTTTCTAGATTTCATTTCAAGATCCCCTGTACTTTATCTAAACAATTAGCTTTTATATACTTAAACAGTATGAATGCATTTAAAAGCATCCTTTGCTAAAATACAACACATGTGGATCTTTTTCTGAAAAAAATAAAAATACAGAAGGAGCCTGTCCTCATCCCAATAATTCCTCCTCAGTTAAAGTGTACAACATTTTGTTATAGGATCCAGTCCATATTTCAGCAGATCTGAAACTATTTTCTATATATGGCAAACATAAAAAGAAACCAGGAGAAGTAAAAGGCATCCTTTACATCTCAGAACCAACTAGAACAGCTTAGTCACTTTTTTGAGGTGAAAGATGCAGCATGGTGCTTTTTGAAACATGAGGAAACCATCAAACTTAGTTTATAATAGTTTCATAGTGATTTTTCAGTTATTACAGTTACATCAAAATCAAAGAATTTCTAGCTAAAATATGTTTTTTTTCACATTGAGCATAAACATGTACATGATTAAAGAAACAATAAAATAGATATGAGTTAATCATAGTTTGTAAACACAGTGTGCAGTTTCCAGGACTCAACCTGAGGCTTGAAGAACTGATTACAGATCACTGAAAGCTGCTGTGCTCACTCGATTATGGGAGCCGAGCGATCGTTGGTGACGGTTTTTCTCAGTCTGATGTGGGCAAACGGATTGGGCCTGCAATGAGAAGGATATTAACACTCATTTAGCTGAAGTAAAGTCATACAAGGTTTGATGGAGGGAACTCATAGAACACTAACTGACATGTTTGGATGACAGAGACAGCTTCATTCAGTCAGCAGAGCTGGGGTATTTTTTGTTTGTTTTTTTTATGTGGGCCATAGTTTCAGTTTCCCTGTCAATAAAGGGATGGGCACCAACAATAATTTTAAAAAAGACCCTGTTTATCCACCACTTCTGCCCTCAACAAGTTTCTGTTGCTATATGCATGTCCTGTCCCCATATAGGATGATCTGCAATTTCTTTTGTAATGTCTTCTTTTTCTTTAGCTATGTTGGCTATAGGTGCTACATTTAGATATCCTGAACCTAAAAAGTTATTTTCTCCACAAGCTGTGACCGTTCCTGTGGATATTTGTGTATATTTATAGGGTATAAATAACATGTTTGTGTATATTTATAGGGTATAAATAACAGTTTGTTCCTTATGTTTTCAACTAACAGAGCTCTTCACTCTCTAACTGTAGGTTTGTAAATGGTTCCTAGTGTTTCTTTAAAGTAGGATGGGAGGTAGGTATTTTAGTTATCAGGCTCCTCTCTTATGGAATCAATTCATGAGGCAGACAACCTTTCTACTTTTAGGACTAGACTTAAAACTTTACTTTTTCATAAAGCGAGTTGGAGTTGCTCAGGATATCCTGAGCTTTGCCATAGATATGCTGCTATAGCCTTAGGCTGCTGGAGGACATAGGGGGCACCTTTCACCATTCTGCATTATCATATGTCTATTCTCCATTTCAGCAGTATTTGTTAGTTCTACCAATACCTGTATGTGCTCTCTTGAATCCATTTTACATGAAAACTGGATTAGAGCTCTTCTACTTTACTGTTTCTTACATTGGCAGAACCAGCTGTGGAGGTAGTTTAGTGTTACCTTTTTTAACATAGAAATTATTTATAGATCAGTGCTTGTGTGTTCCTCTTCTATGTCTACTTTCTCTCCTTGAACCCCCAGTCAGCGTCACCAGAACCCCGCTCACACTGAGCCTGATTATGATGAAGGTTTCTTCCTGTTAAAAGGAAGTTTTTTTCCTTCTCCAATGTCACTACATGTATACTTGTGGAAGGGATTGCTGTAGAATCAACGTCACAATGCAAGCGAAAACCTACTGTTGCCACATAGTCATCCAGGAGGAGCAAATCCTTCAAGTCAATGACTCGATGCAATCAGCTGGTTTTCCTTAGATAGAAAACTTTCAGCCAATCTAACTGTATGATAAGATTGAATTTCCTTTATAAAATGCCTTAAGATAACATTTTGTGAATTGGCAATGCATAAATAAACAAAATTGTGTTTAATTGTATGGTCCATGGTGTCACTGATGCTAAATCTACCATCAGCTATAAGCGTATTTGCTTTTGTTTAAACATAGGACTGGGGAGAATTGTCATCTTCAATCAGTACAAAAACTCAAAACACAGTAAGACCTCTATTCAAATAACTCTTGTCAAATGGGAAATATGTGTTAGAATGGCCCAACCAAAGTCCAGACCTAAATCCACAATAGATTCTGTTGCTAAAAAAAGAAAAAAGGTGTGCATAAATAATGCATGCCCAAAGTTAGTCCTGGAGGGCCGCTGTCCTGCAGGTTTTAGAGGTTGCCCTGCTCCAGCAAAACTTATGCTGAGCTGCAATCATCATAATCAGCTGACCAAATCTGTCACTAGATGTGCAAAGCTTATAGGGACCTACCACAAAAGACTTTCAACCATTCTGGTAAGAAAAGTAGAACTACAAATTATCAGCCCAGTTCCTTACCTTCATTTCTAACCATTGACTCTCTCACTCAGAATCATTCTTAGATTCATACAAGTTTAGCATGTTACACTAGCTTTGTAGCATTTAATTAATGGTGGAATTTTATTTACAACATTTTGTAAGAGTTGCTTTAAAAATTACCTGGTGGGTGATGGTGGTGAGACACTTAAATCAGACGTGATCTGCAAACCACAGTTAAGTCATTAGTCGTCTAAAAGGTAAATCACTACATAACATCAAATTGTTTGAAATTGGAAAGAGTCTCACCTTGTTGCTGTCGGCCATGCTGTAGGGGCGTGGACGGAAGGTGCTGACCCTCTGAGGAGGAAGGGAACGCTCCTCCTCGGACTCAGGGGTGAGAGCAGGGAGACCTGCAGACACTAGTTTGTCAAGTTGTCCTGTGCTAGTGCTGTTAGCCTTAGACAAAAAGAGGGAGCTGCGGAGAAAGGTGATACAGAGAAGACAAAAAGACAAGAGGAAGCACAATGAAACCGGAACGGTGCTAATGTTGAGTGAAATCATCAACAAACCTGCTGCTTTTGGAAATTAGATAAACTTGTTTAAAAAAAGGAAGGAAAGCAAACTGAACCAATTCTATGTTGTAACATGTTTTTCTGTGCTTCTATAAAATAAATGGGAGTTTTTGCTCTCCACTGTCACTTCAAGCATGCTTAGTGTGGGGGATTGCCTTGACTTATTCAATGAGTTGATGCAATCAACTGGTTTTCCTTAGATAGAAAACTTTGAATCAATTTGACTGCATGATCTGGTTGAACTGTAAAGTGCCTTGAGATGGCATGTGCTGTGAATTGGCTATATAAATAAACTGAACTGAATTAACACATATCAAAGATCTACAAAATATGGCAACAAAGTGAATATAGAAACAAGTTAACAGGGGTAAAAAAAAAAAAGGAAGTTGTCATTGATTATGCTGCTGAGAAAATCTTTGTTTTCTGTCACCGTACCCCTCCAGATGGTCCATTCTGCTGTGTTGTGGTTGGGTGTAGGAGAAAGGGAACCACCCTTTCCTGAAAAAACAAGGTCACATTTTAGGCAGCCAGAAAATCCGGTAAGCAGAGTTATTTTTTTTTTTTATAAACATGTAAGCAAGTTGACACCACTCACCACTTCTTTTGCTTAAGTTAAAGTAAAATCGACATAGTATGGTCCTAAACTCTACCAGTTCAGCTGAATGTAAGAACTATTTCAGTGTGTAGAGTTTTGACTACATAATCTTTATTTATCAATCTAATAGTAGGATCTGAACAACTAATAGTTTTTTTGTTAAAACAGTAGAACATCATACCGTCCAGTGCGTTCGTTTTGACCATAGTGCCATCCATCTCTGGGCTCAGAGATCAGCAGGGTGATGTTGTCCCCGGGCAGGAAGTGAAGTAAGCAAGCCCCGCCTCCTAAATTTCCACCTGCACCTTCAGATGATCCAGGTGTATGGGCGAACAGGGCTTCCACATGGGTTACTCCAGATAATGGAAGCACTCTGGGAAGACTGGAACCTGTGATTAAGATCAAGGCAGAACAATAAGGAAGAAGGTTTGGGGGATCAAACAAACACACAGCAAAGCAAAACAAGCTCTTACCCTGAAAGCCTCCTGATCTCATTTCACTCACAGGTCTCCTTGGAAGGGGAAGAGTTGCAGTAGCAGATACATCCCCAGCCTTTAGTAGCCAGGGACTGTATGATGGAGACAGAGTGTGGCTTCCTCCTGGTCCAACTTGCTGGTGCAGCAGCTGCACCGGCGTCATAGCCCTGGAGAGAGGTGCGCTATGGGACAGCGGAGGACTATGGGGAGCGCTATGGAGAATAGGGAGGGTCATTCCCTGAGAAGAGTTACTGTTCTTGGAGATCTGACTGAGTGACATAACCGTTGAAGGGATGAGGCTTGGGGAGAGGTTAGATGTGTTAGTGACCATTAGGAGAGAGCTTTGCTGGGGGGAGGTGCTGGACATGGTGGAGTTGGATAATCCAGGGCTTCCATCTGGAAGAGGGCTCGCTGAGGGACTGAGAGGTGTGCTGGTATGCTGAGGAGAAGCCCTACGGGACGAGTCTCCAGCAACTCCACCACTGGAGGAGGAAGAGAGAAAAGTCTGAGGAGAGCCCTGAGGAGGACCAGTGTCACTGTGGGAGGAGGAAGAGGAGGGGAGCGACCGCTGTTGCTGCTGGGAGCGGCTTGAGTCTCCGTTCAGCAGAGGAGGGACCTCTTGGATGGAAAGCCTCTGAAAAACCCAACAACAATATATTAAAAAAAAGCAAATGTAGGAACATTAACCTCCTGTTTATTGGCGCAGGTACGGTAATTTCAGGTGGTTGGATGTAGTTAGACATCCATCTATCCAATTTCTGACACGCTTAATCCCAAGTGGGGTCACCAGTCCATCGCAGGGCTGTAGTTGGACAGTTCATGCATTTTAAATAATGTTGAGATCAAAATGTGTGGAGATGTGTTTTTTCAGATCATTTTCCTGTTGGTTCATCCAGTCAGAATCCAGAAAGCAACAAGGCAAAGGCCACCAAAACCACTGAAAAACCAGCATCAGTGTCCTCAAAGCTCATGCTCTAAAACTGAACATTTGAGCTATACTGAAATTTAGAGCGACCCACATGAACAACCTATACACTTACTGGGGAAAACACCTTAGACAGGAAGAGTACACAGAAACAAAGAAAGAGATTGGAGGATTCGGGGTGGAGCATTTATAATCTAAACAAACTGTTTAGCAAGGCGGTGGAAGTATCATGCTTTGGAGCTTTTACCCTGACAGAGTTACTGATGTATTGCAGAAAGTGGATGGAAAATAAGGAGGAAGATTGATATCCAAACTTTCATTTTTACCTTTGTGCAACAATTGACTTATTTTCCAAGAGGAAAAAAAATGATAAAAGCAAATGAAAGTTAATTAATTTTCTAATTTCTAACCTCGGGTTATTAAACAGAAAATAATTAAATATATTAGGCCATATGTATAATTTGTTTATTTCAAAATCATCCTGAAAAAAACATTGTTCAGATGCAGGGTGAGAGTATAGAAACTTCTCATCATAACTGTATTTTCAGTGACTAAATTAGAATGACTGTCCTAGAGCTTATAGTAACTTTATTAGTCAGAGACTTTAAGAAAACGAAGCTTTAATATGTAAATAGGTTATGACCATATGAGCATATTACAGATTATCCCTTCTATGAACTTAGACTTAGACAACATTTATTGTCATTTTGTATACACAGAGTGTATACAATGCAGAATTTTGTATTGTACAGCTCTGATGACATTTCCAATTCTTTAAAGTGCAGCAGTGATCAGATGTAAAAATTGTGGAGAAAAAACATGGTGCAAAAAATTGCATTGATATGGTTTGATGCAGAGTCTTTGACATGATTTAGAACATTTTAAAAGAAGACTTTGAAATGGTTGAGTTAGTCATCAGTGTTAACTAGAAGCACATTTTATTGGTACTAATATTTAAGTATGGTGAACTGCTGTGTCAATAAGAGATGAAGTGAGATCTGACCTGTTCCGGCTGAGCAGTGCCCAGCTTGGTGTGACGGAGGACCTCTGCTATCCCAGCAGCCCCTTGGCTTTGTGGCGTAGTATGACGCAGCAGATTGAGGGCACGCTCTGGGAGCTTCGTAGGCTGAGAACAAGACTGCTGCCAGGTTGATAGTTTCTGTGACAGAAGCTCCCTCACCTGGATCATGGTGGAAAACAGCTTGAAGTCAAACGCTCGATTTTGGTCAAATAGATAACCATTTAAAAATAAAATAACAAAATTTTTTCAGCTGTTACTTGATTAAAATAATTAATAAAAAAAAACTAGTTGGTGAGTGTGCAGAGAATCAAAGTTCACCTTGGAGTGGTAGTTGATGAGCAGCTTGGTGACACAGCACTGTCTGTCCACCAGGAAGCAGTATCTCCTCCTCTCCTCTGTGAGTGCAGACTTGTAGCCTGTAGCCACCAGCACATCCAGCTCACCTTGTCTGCGACTCATCAGCTCCACAAACTAAAGGAAAAATCCCAAAAAGTCACCTTAAGCCTCAAAAAGATTTGTGAATTGAATCCCAAATATCTTGATTGGCTCTCTTCAGTGCTGGGTAACTGTTTTGGGCCCCATTTGGGCTGCGAATGACACTCTACCTGCATCTCTCTGTCTCCATATTTGTTTGGGTGACGGCTGCCCTGGCTCTTTCTGCGGAGTTTCTTCAGCTGGGTCTGACAACGCTCAATTGACTCGGACCGAGACCTTCGCTCACTCTGATACTTCTTCAGAGTGGCCTGAAAATGAAAGAGCAAAACAAAGCATGTGATTAAATGCATTTTGTATTTAATAGTTTTTCTGACAGTAGCCTGACAGGGAAGGGGGTTTGAGAGAGAGAGAGAGAGAGACATGCAGGAAAGGAATACAGGCCAGATTTGAACCCAGGTCACCCATTTCAGGGACTAAGGCCTCTGTACATGTGTTGTGTGCGCTAACCACTCAGCACCAGCACACCCTTATATTTTTATTTTTTTCATTGTTTTTCAACATTTCAGCACTAGCCCCCACAGTGGTTTGAGTTCACTAAAAGCAGGAGAGGCATTGGTGCGTATCTTCAGTTGTGACCGGGTGCGACACATCACAGAGACATTGGACCATACCATACCAACTTTATTTATGAAGCACTTTATACACCGAACAGGACCAAAGTGCTGTACACAATCA